CAGCTGTCGAGGGCGTCGAAACTCTCCCTGAGGCCGACGTCATAAACCAGCAGCACGCCCTGACTGTCCTTATAGAACTCATTACGCACCTGAGACGGGTGGGGGGGGGGGGGGCAGAGATATAATAACTTTTAAAGTTTAAAACAATAAAAACTTTATTGTAAGAAAATGTGATTTTATTTGATTTTCTGACTCACTTCGTAGAAGAACGGATGTCCGGCCATGTCAAAGATGTTCACTTTGATCTCTCGGTCTCGTACCTGCACTCTGACGTGAAAATATAATATATAAATATATAATGTAATATAAATATATAATATAAATATAAATAATATATAAATATATCACGTAATATAATATATAAATATAATATATAATAATATATAAATATAACAGAAATATAATATATAATAATATATAAATATAACAGAAATATAATATATAAATATAACATAAATATAATATATAAATGTAATATATAAATATAACATAAATATAATATATAAATATAATATATAAATGTAATATATAAATATAACATAAATATAATATATAAATGTAATATATAAATATAACATAAATATAATATATAAATATAACATAAATATAATATATAAATGTAATATATAAATATAACATAAATATAATATATAAATATAACATAAATATAATATATAAATGTAATATATAAATATAACATAAATATAATATATAAATGTAATATATAAATATAATATATAAATATAACATAAATGTAATATATAAATATAACATAAATATAATATATAAATATAATATATAAATATAATATATAAATATAACATAAATATAATATATAAATATAACATAAATATAATATATAAATATAACATAAATATAATATATAAATATAATATATAAATATAACATAAATATAACATAAATATAATATATAAATGTAATATATAAATATAACATAAATATAATATATAAATATAACATAAATATAATATATAAATGTAATATATAAATATAACATAAATATAATATATAAATGTAATATATAAATATAATATATAAATATAACATAAATGTAATATATAAATATAACATAAATATAATATATAAATATAATATATAAATATAACATAAATATAACATAAATATAATATATAAATATAACATAAATATAATATATAAATATAACATAAATGTAATATATAAATATAACATAAATATAATATATAAATATAACATAAATGTAATATATAAATATAACATAAATATAATATATAAATATAACATAAATATAACATAAATATAATATATAAATATAACATAAATATAATATATAAATATAACATAAATATAATATATAAATATAATATATAAATATAACATAAATATAACATAAATATAAGACAAATATAAGATAAATATAATATATAAATCTAACATAAATATAAGATAAATATAAGATAAATATAATATATAAATATAACATAAATATAACATAAATATAAGATAAATATAAGATAAATATAATATATAAATATAACATAAATATAACATAAATATAAGATAAATATAATATATAAATATAACATAAATATAATATATAAATATAATATATAAATATAAGCTCTCCCACTCAGTGACAGCAGAGGAGACTCACTTAGTGACGCCGTAGTCGATGCCGATAGTTGCCAGATACTTTGGGACGAACCTCTTCTCACAGTAACGTTTGATGATGCAGCTCTGAAAGGACAAACGGTTAAAATGTTCCTGCAGAATCTTTCACAGCAAACCTCCTTCAGACATCCACAGATTCAACGTCTGAACACATCCTGCAGAAGTTCACTTTGAATCTTTACACGTCAGAGCTGAGTTTGTATTTTAGATTTTTATTTTACTGTCACAGTTAGCACCGTGTGCAAGGCGCTCATAAGGGTGTGTGTGTGTGTGTGTGTGTGTGTGTTAGTTTTATTCTTCATCAAGCCATGAACTTCTTTTCTTGCAGTTTTTAACTTTTTCGTGTGTGACTTTACATTAATTGAGCTGACATGTTATATCATCGCCCTCTAGTGGTTGTAAAGTGTAACTATAACTCCCTGCTTCGGGTTTTATTTTGAAAGAGTCTTTACACCTGATAAACACGAGTGTTTGCTTCCCTCCGGTGGTGAAAATGTGTAATTACAACTTTCATTTACTACAAACAATAAAGAATCCTATCTAAAACGTATTATATAGCCTATAAAATATTAATTAAATAATATTTTAAACAATAAAATATATTTGAAAATCACTTTGTTCAGCTATTTTGAATTCCCCAACTTAATATTCACATATCTCCATTGAAAACATTATATATATATATATATATATATATATAAACTTAATATTGATGCCGATCTCTCCATCCATCAGTCCTCATCTGAAACACATCCTCTCTGATGTTCTTCTGTTCATGTTTAATTAGATTTAAACCAGAATGTGTTAAATGTGTTTATTTCTTAATGAGGTTTTGTCTCGTTTTAAAAGTCAAAATATAACATTTAATGAAAAACACTTTCAGCAGTTTGTTGAGAGATTCTGAAATAAATATATGAGCTTTTATCTTTCAGAGGGAATCTGTTTATAAAGTGAATAAATGTCAGTTTGTAGAATCCAACATGAGGTTTAAATAAAGGTTTAAATAAAGGTTTAAATAAAGGTTTAAATTAAGGTTTAAATAAAGGTGTTTAAAGGTTTAAATAAAGGTGTTTAAAGGTTTAAATAAAGGTTTAAATAAAGGTTTAAATTAAGGTTTAAATAAAGGTGTTTAAAGGTTTAAATAAAGGTGTTTAAAGGTTTAAATAAAGGTTTAAATAAAGGTTTAAATAAAGGTTTAAATTAAGGTTTAAATAAAGGTGTTTAAAGGTTTAAATAAAGGTGTTTAAAGGTTTAAATAAAGGTTTAAATAAAGGTTTAAATTAAGGTTTAAATAAAGGTGTTTAAAGGTTTAAATAAAGGTGTTTAAAGGTTTAAATAAAGGTTTAAATAAAGGTTTAAATTAAGGTTTAAATTAAGGTTTAAATAAAGGTTTAAATAAAGGTGTTTAAAGGTTTAAATAAAGGTGTTTAAAGGTTTAAATAAAGGTTTAAATAAAGGTTTAAATTAAGGTTTAAATAAAGGTGTTTAAAGGTTTAAATAAAGGTGTTTAAAGGTTTAAATAAAGGTTTAAATAAAGGTTTAAATTAAGGTTTAAATAAAGGTGTTTAAAGGTTTAAATAAAGGTGTTTAAAGGTTTAAATAAAGGTTTAAATAAAGGTGTTTAAAGGTTTAAATAAAGGTTTAAATAAAGGTTTAAATAAAGGTTTAAATAAAGGTGTTTAAAGGTTTAAATAAAGGTGTTTAAAGGTTTAAATAAAGGTGTTTAAAGGTTTAAATAAAGGTTTAAATAAAGGTGTTTAAAGGTTTAAATAAAGGTGTTTAAAAGTTTAAATAAAGGTGTTTAAAGGTTTAAATAAAGGTTTAAATAAAGGTTTAAATAAAGGTGTTTAAAGGTTTAAATAAAGGTGTTTAAAGGTTTAAATAAAGGTTTAAATAAAGGTGTTTAAAGGTTTAAATAAAGGTTTAAATAAAGGTTTAAATAAAGGTGTTTAAAGGTTTAAATAAAGGTTTAAATAAAGGTTTAAATAAAGGTGTTTAAACACCTGGTGAGTTACCTTTCCCACCTCCGCGTTCCCCAGGCTGATCACCTTCACCCGCAGAGACTTCTTGTTGTCTCTCCTCTTCGGCGGGTTCGTTTCCATCTGGACCTCCGTGAATTTAACAGACTAACAGACTGGTACCGAGCTCCGACCCGGTGTGCAGACTGGTACCGAGCACCGACCCGGTGTGCAGACTGGTACCGAGCACCGACCCGCTGTGCAGACTGGTACCGAGCACCGACCCGGTGTACAGACTGGTACCGAGCACCGACCCGCTGTGCAGACTGGTACCGAGCACCGACCCGCTGTGCAGACTGGTACCGAGCACCGACCCGGTGTACAGACTGGTACCGAGCACCGACCCGCTGTGCAGACTGGTACCGAGCACCGACCCGCTGTGCAGACTGGTACCGAGCACCGACCCGCTGTGCAGACTGGTACCGAGCACCGACCCGGTGTACAGACTGGTACCGAGCACCGACCCGGTGTACAGACTGGTACCGAGCACCGACCCGCTGTGCAGACTGGTACCGAGCTCCGACCCGCTGTGCAGACTGGTACCGAGCACCGACCCGCTGTGCAGACTGGTACCGGCTCCGACCCGTGTACAGACTGTACCGAGCTCCGACCCGCTGTGCAGACTGGTACCGAGCACCGACCCGCTGTGCAGACTGGTACCGAGCACCGACCCGGTGTGCAGACTGGTACCGAGCACCGACCGCTGTACAGACTGGTACCGAGCACCGACCCGCTGTGCAGACTGTACCGAGCACCGACCCGCTGTGCAGACTGGTACCGAGCACCGACCCGCTGTACAGACTGGTACCGAGCACCGACCCGGTGTACAGACTGGTACCGAGCACCGACCCGGTGTACAGACTGGTACCGAGCACCGACCCGCTGTGCAGACTGGTACCGAGCTCCGACCCGCTGTGCAGACTGGTACCGAGCTCCGACCCGGTGTTGTTGTTGACAGCGCGGCTAACAGGCTAACCAGCTGTTAGCTTCACTCTCGTGATAAAAAGGACCTTTTATCTGAACTGTCCTCGTGTTTAAGAACAACTGCGCGTCATGTAGCTTAGCATTAGTGCTAATGTTTTAATTTACTGTTAATAAAACACACAGCGGAGACATAGCGAGCTAAATAGCTTCATAGCCTAAAATGCTAACAAGCGTTTAAAGACCAGCGTCGTTAAAACAAGACATCCGGTAACCCTTTCAGAATAAAAGTAATCTAACGCCTGATACTGATTTGACTTCTCTGTTTAATGAAGAATAAAATAAGACAGCAGTGGGGCAGAAGCTATAAAAAAAAGACTTATTAAAGGAGACTGTTTAAGAAACATTTTTAATATTCTACGATTCATTTAGCGGAAGCGTTTAGTCATCAGAGTAAAACACGTGAAGAAGACAAGAACAAATATTCTCAGAAATGATCTGTCATATTTTACAAAACAATTTCTCAGGAAAAAACTAGCGATCAATATAAAACTACTCCCATCATAACTAGTACACAGAAAACTATAAAAACAAATATTTAAAATATAAGAAAGCCAGCAGGAGGATTGTGTTTATAACTTATATTTGTAAAACCATTTCAAATAAAGAAAAGGGAAAAGAACAAAAACATGTTTTAATGTCTGATATTTAATTTAATGATTTTTTGATAAAGCTCCACACGGATGGACTTTAAAGATTTTACTGAAAATTAAACAAATAATAATTATTTTTTGGATACATTTGATGATTTGTTTTGGTCCTTTTAGTTTAAATTTTAATTAATTTAAAATGTAATTAGCTTCATGAAACATCCTTCCGTTTTGGTGAAACAGCGACATCCGGTGGACAAACTGTGGTACTGCACCCTGCAGAGTTGTGTTTAGAGATGATCCCTCTGCATCTTAAAATAATCTTTATGACATGAACAAGATAAAGTTACAAAGATATTACAATATAAATGTTATAAATTCATCTCCGGCTTTTATTTACACTGACCCTCCTGATTTATTCAATCTTTTAAAGTGGAAACATAAAAAGATCTTTTTAAAACTATTGTTTTCGGTCACGTAGTAACGCACGCTGTTACACGTTACGTTAGGCCTAAATCAGCTGAACAGACGTCAAACCAGCGAGCTGAAACATCATCCTTCAATTTAGACTTTAACATTTAATGGATTCTTTTTTCCGAAAGTTACCGTAAAACTTCTATAAACAGCCCGACCTTTTCTGTACGTCAGTCGACCTTCAGTTAGGACGGGCGCCGAAACGAGACGGGCCGCTAATTATTCACAAACCAAAGCGGGGCGGAGCAAAGACGGGAAAGATTTAAAAATTGTAAATTTACAGCAGTGAACATCGTTAAAACTAAAAAATGATAAATCACTCTAACCTCCTGCTCGTTGTTTGTTTGATCTGCGATTCATTTAAACACTAAACGCAAAGATGGCGTCTGACTGAGAGCCGCCTGTATCCATCAAAGCGGGCAGCAACACCAGGCGAGGAAAGGGGGCGGGGCCTAGAAGTGGGAGGAGCTTTTATTAGAAGTTTTACGGTAAAACGTGGATTTGAAGTTAAACTGAGTTTTGAGGCGTTTTTGTGTTCAGAGGGTCAAAGGTTAAATGTACAGATTCTCTAAAACAAACGTCGTCATCGTTTGTTTTGGTCGCAGGGAGTCGTGGTTATCTGGTGGTCCGTGGCATGGTGATGGCGGCGTTAGCGGGCAGGAAGCGGCTGCATCTGCAGCGAGTCGTACGTGTCTCTGGTGGCCGAGCTCAAACCCTGAAGAGACAGGAAACACTTTAATGTTCCAGGAAACAGACGGAGCCCACCGACAGATAACCTGGAGGATCGAGTGACATGAAAACAATAAACGTGTTCAGACTCACCTGGTAGATCTGCTCGTTCTTCCTCTGACGCTGCACAAACACAAAAACAAGATTTTAAATCTACACTGTAAAATATTCATGATGAAATCAAAAGAACAAACATCAGAGGAGTCACCTCTCTCTTCACCGGGAGCGCCTTGTATTCTCCATCAGAGTGTTTGTTCAGAGTCTGAAACAAAGACACAATGCATGCTGGGAGATAATCATATAAAGAACAATACGTCTCATCTGTGTCTCTTTAGAAACAACAAACTTCAAAATAAGAGCGCGTTTGTTACCGTGTATTCAGAGTCATCGGCCATCCTGCGGTTCTGAAAAAACAAAAAGGAGAAACTTTAGAAATCAAAGTTCTGTTCCTTTAAAAACAACAAACTGATTCAGGATCTTGTAAAGGGTCCAGTATCTGGGGGTCCTAAGGTCTCACTTTGAGGGTCTTCTAGTGCTTTTTAAAACTTTTCTCATAGAACCAGACGCTGAGTTTGAGTTTTGATATTGAAAACAGACTCACTCGTCCTCTCTCAGGGTCTCCTCTGACCACCGGGGCGTAACCTCCAGAGTCCAGACCCTTCAGATCCACAACGCCACGCCACGAGAGAGGAGACGGAGAAAAGATGAAAACAACAACAAGACAACAAATCAAAAAACACAACACTTTTTATCCAACAGGAACATCAACGAGCGATCTGTTTGTTGTTTGTTGTGTTTGTTTGTTGTTGTTTGTTGTTTGTTGTTGTGTTTGTTTTGTTTGTTTGTTGTTGTGTGTTGTTGTTTGTGTTGTGTTTGTTTGTTTGTTGTTGTTTGTTTGTTGTGTTTGTTTGTTGTGTTTGTTTGTTTGTTGTGTGTTTGTTTGTTGTTGTGTTTGTTTGTTGTTGTGTTTGTTTGTTGTTGTGTTTGTTTGTTGTGTTTGTTTGTGTTGTTTTTGTTGTGTTTGTTTGTTTGTTGTTGTGTTTGTTTGTTGTTTGTTGTTTGTTGTTGTTGTGTTTGTTTTTGTTTGTTGTGTGTTTGTTTGTGTTGTTTGTTGTGTTGTTTGTTGTTGTTGTTTGTTGTTTGTTTGTTTGTTGTGTTTGTTTGTGTTGTGTTTGTTGTTGTGTTTGTTTTGTGTTTGTTTTTTGTTGTGTTTGTTTGTGTTGTGTTTGTTGTTGTGTTTGTTTGTTTGTTTTGTTGTTGTTTTGTTTGTTGTTGTGTTTGTTTGTTGTGTTTGTTTGTTTGTTGTTGTGTTTGTTTGTTGTTGTGTTTGTTTGTTTGTTGTTGTGTTTGTTTGTTGTGTGTGATTGTTGTTGTTGACTCACGCTGCCCTCTGCTGACTTCACTTTTTCTCTGAAGAACTAAAACAGAAACAAACTGAAGATTAAAAACTGTAACTCATGACCTTTGACCTTGAGAGTGACAGTAGACTGACCTTCTCTCTGATGAACATGCCGGTGATGACGAGTCCGTACAGACCGAGGAAACCGTCCAGGATGTAACACAGCTGAGGGTCGTATAGGTTCACTGCCTCTGTCAGAGGTTAAAGGTCAAAGGTTAAAGGTCATACACGTGGACAAAGACAGGAAGTACAGTGTAAGTGCAGGAATACAGTTACAGAAAAGAGGGCGGGACTTCAAGAGAGCGAGTTAGAAACAGTTTGTGTGTTTGTGTGATGCTGCTCAGTGGTTTCCTCCATCTCTCACACAGGTGTGTGTGTCTGTGTTCAGTGTGTGTGTTCAGTGTGTGTGTGCGTGTGCGTGTGCGTCTGTGGTTCAGTGTGTGTGTGTGTGTTTGGTTATATGTGACACACGCGCCCCGCCTCGATCACCACTCTCTGCATGTGGACTCATCCGCCGCTGAAAATAGTCCCAAACAAACACAAGCCATTCTTCTTGTTTGAGGAAACAACTGAACGTCTTCAAACTCTGAGTGTGTTTTTTCAGCCCTGAGTAGTGACTGCAGGTATCTCATGAAGGCGCCTTCAGGTAAGACTGAGGGTAAAGTGACCACGCCTCCCCTGACACGAGTACGCGTAGACCCCCATCATTACTTTTCTTCAAAAATGATGTCGCTCTGTCTCATCACCACACTGCCCCGAGTGGTCAAATGCATTATTACATCTTCCTGTCGGCGTTGAGTCATTTTCTGTGGACCTTCACAACCGACGCTCCGAACGCCTGCAGGATGTCATGTGATCACACGTGTAGTGACACCCGGGTCTTCACTCCCCTGGGGTGAAGGGTCCATGTGACAGAGGAGGGACAGGAAGTCATTAACGCTGATATGTGAGCGAGGGAAAGGAAACGACAAACCACAGAAGATAACTCCATCGACTCCTCTCTAACTTTTCTGTTCTTCACTTCAAATGTTTGACTTCTTATTAGAAACAAGATTTGGACGAACGATTTTATTTAGTAGAGAAAGACAACGGGAGCCAAAAGACTAAAATAAGACAAGAGGACGATGAGTCATCAAAACATTCCCCCCCGTACAGTGTGTGTCCATCCAGACATGAGCTAATCACACCTATTTGGTTTTTTGAACCAGGCTGTAAACATGTTCATCTCTGCTGTAAAAACAGGCTTTTTAGAATGGGTGTGTATGTGACTTCCTGTGCTTCTGCAGCCAGCCTCTAGTGGACACTCCAGGAACTGCAGGTTGCTGCTTGCTTTTCAGGGAGGATTCAAATTAAATACTGGATATATTCACGTGTCCAAAAAGAGTTTTAATAACTTCATGAGATGTTAAGAATTAAAAAACGCTCCGATCTCGTTTCTGATAAAAACTCTGAACCTCCAGAACAGTTTCCTGTCTTTACATTCTGATGTTCATTAGAAAGACGGCCGCTTGAGATAAAAATACATTTTGATGAGAACAAAGATAAAGAGTGAACACACACACAGGAGGAAGTCCGCGTGTGTGTGTGTGTGTGTGTGTGGTCAGGCTGGATGTGACGCGATGTTGTCGAGTATCAAACATGAAAACCGCTTTTTTTTTTTTAAAGATCTCATTTCAGGGTAATTTGAAGTTTTTCCAGTTTGAGTCCTGAAGATGAAACCTCTCAGACTCTCATAAAGAAACTCGTCATCTCTCAGGAGTTTTTGTTTCCATGGTTACGGGAACTCATCAGCTGATAATAAATGTGAAACATTAACTGAAACTCTAAACAGCCGTCTGATGGAGAAACGTCTCGACTCTGACGTCTGACTCTTTCAGGTTTTTACATTAAAGTCTTTTTGTTTTCCACTCGTCTCATTTTTAAATAAAGTTATTTAAACACGTCTCACCGTCACGCCGTCTGCATCTAACAAACCGCTCGTTTTACATCACGTTGCTGTAAATGTGGATGAGACAATTGAAAGATGTTGCTGCCAAAGTTGCTGTAAATATTTCTGAAATGTTGCAGAAATCTGAGCAACATGTTGAGAAGTTGCAAACAGAGTTACTCAGATGTTTCCGAAATGTTTTGCATGTTGTTGTTGATGAAAATGTTTCTGAGTAATTCGGAAAATGCGGCTCAGAAAGTTTCTCAAATGTTTCCTCAGCATGCAACGGAATCGTTCTAGAAAGTTGCAGAAATCTGAGCAACATGTTCCTGAATAATTGTTTAAAAGTTGCCGACGTGTGTCTTCTATTTTGCATATTGTTTTCAGCAACATACAAGACACATGTCGGCAATCAGTCAAATCTTTACACTGAACTGTTTCTGTTTCAGCCGTTTCTCCGTCTCATGTTTCCATAGCAACGACACACGAGACGGAGAATCTGAAACTTTAAAACTGTTTTTATGAGCTTTTCTCGTCTCCATCAGACAAAGCTCAGTTTGGGGAAGACGTTCAACTTTAAGAACCACAGCACAACGCTACTTCCTGTGTGTGTGTGTGTGTGTGTGGAGGGGGGTTTACTCTGTGGTCAGCTCAGCTTCTCACACTACAAAGACAAAGTGCGCTCTGACATAAAGCGTTTCATCTCTACACTTTCATGTTCTAGTTCATATTTTGTTTTTAATTTTTGTGTCTTTAGAAGATTTTAATGCAAAGGTTTAAAAGATTTTAATGCAAAAGTTTAAAAGATTTTAATGTGAAAGTTTAAAAGATTTTAATGCAAAAGTTTAAAAGATTTTAATGCAAAAGTTTAAAAGATTTTAATGCAAAAGTTTAAAAGATTTTAATGCAAAAGTTTAAAGATTTTAATGTGAAAGTTTAAAAGATTTTAATGCAAAAGTTTAAAAGATTTTAATGCAAAAGTTTAAAAGATTTTAATGCAAAAGTTTAAAAGATTTTAATGTGAAAGTTTAAAAGATTTTAATGTGAAAGTTTAAAGATTTTAATGTGAAAGTTTAAAGATTTTAATGCAAAAGTTTAAAAGATTTTAATGCAAAAGTTTAAAGATTTTAATGTGAAAGTTTAAAAGATTTTAATGTGAAAGTTTAAAAGATTTTAATGTGAAAGTTTAAAGATTTTAAAGTGAAGGTTTAAAGATTTTAATGTGAAAGTTTAAAGATTTTAATGTGAAAGTTTAAAGACTTTAAAGTGAAGGTTTTTAAAATCATCTTGTGAATAACGAGCTAATGGAGAAGCTGCCGGTGTTACGTAGAGAAATGCGTCCCTGCTCAAGTCATCTGTACGTCGACCTTCATCGTCTGTTTAATAAATAAATTCAAACCTGCAGACGGCGAGCAGAAACCTCACAGCTCGCTCTTATTTGACCCGCCATCAGAGCGCCTCACACGAGTGGCGAGATTTACAGATGTTTAAAGTTTCTGCAGACGGTGAGAGGGAGATTTTAAACTGGGATGTACTGGTTTGAACTGGTCCTTTAGTCTCTACTGGAAAATACAGCGGTCAGCGTTGTAGTTATTTGAAGGTCTGATTGTTTAAACCGGTATTATGAATTTATCTCCAGATGCTCTGAACCGGTCTTTAAGGCTCTTAATGGTTTGAACTGGTCTTGTTTTAGTCTGTACTGGTATTTTATCATCTGCTCATTGGATAGAAAACAGAGATCAGCAGCCACGAGTATGAAGAGCCAGAAAATAAAATAAAAAGATAATGAACATGAAAATCTACGTTCAGGAAAATTAATATTTATTTATTATTAATATATGTATTTATTGAAGCTAAAGCTAACGGCTAGCTTCAGCAGCTGAAATAAAATAAAAGTTTCTGCAGAGACAAAGAAAATTAATAATAATTATTATATAATTATAAAATAATCAGGTTTTATTGATCCTTCAATTTAACTCATTAACACAAACGTGGAGCAGCTTTTTGCTTCAGGTGTTGTGTTGAAAAATGTATCCCTGCCGAGAATCACATGAGCCGTGTTTGAAAACCGAGAAGTTTCAGGAAGTATCTGAAGTTTATACTTAATGAAGTTAAATGTCCTTATAAGACACTTTTTACAAACTGTAAAGCTCGTCGTGTGGCGTGCTCTCGGGTAGGACGGCGTGCTCTGGTGACCCGTAAAGCTCTTCACTGGAACACCTTCAAGGTAACTCACAGCCTTTAGAACTGTTTATTAACTGTTCATTAACTGTTTATTATCTGTTTAACAGTTTATTAACAGTTTATTAACTGTTTATTAACTGTTTATTAACTGTTTATTATTTACAGTGTAAGATCTGCTCTCTCTGTTTTTAACACATAAGAACCACTCAGTATTCACGCTCTCCGTCCCAAACGCTCGGACAGAAAAGGTGACGGGGCTTCTGGGTATTCTGCACCCTCAGCCTGGAATCTGCACAAGGACTTGAAACTCAAGGAGCTGGAGTCCTTAAAGGTTTCTACAGGAAGTGGATTCTACAGGATGCCGATGTTTCAGCTCGACCGCTTCAACAACACACTCACAGATTTTACTCTTTTTTCTCTTTAACTGTAAACTTTAGTGTTTTTATAAATGACACTTTGTCTCTGTAACTTTGTCTCTGTGTGACTTTGTCTCTGTGTGACTTTGTCTCTGTGTAACTTTGTCTCTGTAACTTTGTCTCTGTGTGACTTTGTCTCTGTGTGACTTTGTCTCTGTGTAACTTTGACTCTGTGTAACTTTGTCTCTGTAACTTTGTCTCTGTGTAACTTTGTCTCTGTAACTTTGTCTCTGTAACTTTGTCTCTGTGTGACTTTGTCTCTGTGTAACTTTGTCTCTGTGTGACTTTGTCTCTGTGTGACTTTGTCTCTGTGTAACTTTGTCTCTCTGTAACTTTGTCTCTCTGTAACTTTGTCTCTGTGTAACTTTGTCTCTGTAACTTTGTCTCTGTGTGACTTTGTCTCTGTGTGACTTTGTCTCTGTGTAACTTTGACTCTGTGTAACTTTGACTCTGTGTAACTTTGTCTCTGTAACTTTGTCTCTGTGTAACTTTGTCTCTGTAACTTTGTCTCTGTAACTTTGTCTCTGTGTGACTTTGTCTCTGTAACTTTGTCTCTGTGTGACTTTGTCTCTGTGTAACTTTGTCTCTGTGTAACTTTGTCTCTGTGTAACTTTGTCTCTGTGTAACTTTGTCTCTGTGTAACTTTGTCTCTGTGTAACTTTGTCTCTGTAACTTTGTCTCTGTGTGACTTTGTCTCTGTAACTTTGTCTCTGTGTAACTTTGTCTCTGTGTAACTTTGTCTCTGTAACTTTGTCTCTGTGTGACTTTGTCTCTGTGTGACTTTGTCTCTGTGTGACTTTGTCTCTGTGTGACTTTGTCTCTGTGTGACTTTGTCTCTGTGTAACTTTGTCTCTGTGTGACTTTGTCTCTGTGTGACTTTGTCTCTGTGTAACTTTGTCTCTGTGTGACTTTGTCTCTGTGTAACTTTGTCTCTGTGTAACTTTGTCTCTGTAACTTTGTCTCTGTGTGACTTTGTCTCTGTGTGACTTTGTCTCTGTGTAACTTTGTCTCTGTGTGACTTTGTCTGCACAAGGACTTGAAACTCAAGGAGCTGGAGTCCTTAAAGGTTTCTACAGGAAGCGGATTCTACAGGATGCTGATGTTTCAGCTCGACCGCTTCAACGACACACTCACAGATTTTGCTCTTTTTTCTCTTTAACTGTAAACTTTAGTGTTTTTATAAATGACACTTTGTCTCTGTGTGACTTTGTCTCTGTGTAACTTTGTCTCTGTGTGACTTTGTCTCTGTGTGACTTTGTCTCTGTGTGACTTTGTCTCTGTGTGACTTTGTCTCTGTGTGACTTTGTCTCTGTGTAACTTTGTCTCTGTAACTTTGTCTCTGTGTGACTTTGTCTCTGTGTGACTTTGTCTCTGTGTAACTTTGTCTCTGTAACTTTGTCTCTGTGTAACTTTGACTCTGTGTAACTTTGTCTCTGTAACTTTGTCTCTGTGTGACTTTGTCTCTGTAACTTTGTCTCTCTGTAACTTTGTCTCTGTAACTTTGTCTCTGTGTGACTTTGTCTCTGTAACTTTGTCTCTGTGTAACTTTGTCTCTGTAACTTTGTCTCTGTGTGACTTTGTCTCTGTGTGACTTTGTCTCTGTGACTTTGTCTCTGTGTGACTTTGTCTCTGTGTGACTTTGTCTCTGTGTAACTTTGTCTCTGTGTAACTTTGTCTCTCTGTAACTTTGTCTCTGTAACTTTGTCTCTGTGTAACTTTGTCTCTGTGTGACTTTGTCTCTGTGTGACTTTGTCTCTCTGTAACTTTGTCTCTGTGTAACTTTGTCTCTGTGTAACTTTGTGTTTGTGTGACTTTGTCTCTGTAATTTTGTCTCTGTAACTTTGTCTCTGTGTGACTTTGTCTCTGTAACTTTGTCTCTGTGTAACTTTGTCTCTGTGTAACTTTGTGTTTGTGTGACTTTGTCTCTGTAACTTTGTCTGTGTAACTTTGTCTCTGTAACTTTGTCTCTGTGTAACTTTGTCTCTGTAACTTTGTCTCTGTAACTTTGTCTCTGTAACTTTGTCTCTGTGTGACTTTGTCTCTGTAACTTTGTCTCTGTAACTTTGTCTCTGTGTAACTTTGTCTCTGTAACTTTGTCTCTGTGTAACTTTGTCTCTGTAACTTTGTCTCTGTAACTTTGTCTCTGTGTAACTTTGTCTCTGTGTAACTTTGTCTCTGTAACTTTGTCTCTGTGTAACTTTGTCTCTGTGTAACTTTGTCTCTGTAACTTTGTCTGTGTAACTTTGTCTCTGTAACTTTGTCTCTGTGTAACTTTGTCTCTGTGTAACTTTGTCTCTGTAACTTTGTCTGTGTAACTTTGTCTCTGTGTAACTTTGTCTGTGTAACTTTGTCTCTGTGTAACTTTGTCTCTAACTTTGTCTCTGTAACTTTGTCTGTGTAACTTTGTCTCTGTGTAACTTTGTCTCTGTAACTTTGTCTCTGTAACTTTGTCTGTGTAACTTTGTCTCTGTAACTTTGTCTGTGTAACTTTGTCTCTGTGTAACTTTGTCTCTGTAACTTTGTCTCTGTGTAACTTTGTCTCTGTGTAACTTTGTCTCTGTAACTTTGTCTCTGTGTAACTTTGTCTCTGTGTAACTTTGTCTCTGTGTGACTTTGTCTCTGTGTGACTTTGTCTCTGTGTGACTTTGTCTCTGTGTGACTTTGTGTTTGTGTAACTTTGTCTCTGTGTAACTTTGTCTCTGTGTGACTTTGTCTCTGTGTAACTTTGTGTTTGTGTAACTTTGTCTCTGTGTAACTTTGTCTCTGTGTGACTTTGTGTTTGTGTAACTTTGTCTCTGTGTAACTTTGTCTCTGTGTGACTTTGTCTCTGTGTAACTTTGTGTTTGTGTAACTTTGTCTCTGTGTAACTTTGTCTCTGTGTGACTTTGTCTCTGTAACTTTGTCTCTGTAACTTTGTCTCTGTGTGACTTTGTCTCTGTGTAACTTTGTCTCTGTGTGACTTTGTCTCTGTGTAACTTTGTCTCTGTAACTTTGTCTCTGTGTAACTTTGTCTCTGTGTAACTTTGTCTCTGTGTGACTTTGTCTGTGTAACTTTGTCTCTGTAACTTTGTCTCTGTGTAACTTTGACTCTGTAACTTTGTCTCTGTAACTTTGTCTCTGTGTAACTTTGTCTCTGTAACTTTGTCTCTGTAACTTTGTCTCTGTGTAACTTTGTCTCTGTGTAACTTTGTCTCTGTGTAACTTTGTCTCTGTGTAACTTTGTCTCTGTAACTTTGTCTCTGTGTAACTTTGTCTCTGTGTAACTTTGTCTCTGTGTAACTTTGACTCTGTGTAACTTTGTCTCTGTGTAACTTTGACTCTGTGTAACTTTGTCTCTGTGTAACTTTGTCTCTGTGTAACTTTGTCTCTGTGTAACTTTGACTCTGTGTAACTTTGTCTCTGTGTAACTTTGTCTCTGTAACTTTGTCTCTGTAACTTTGTCTCTGTGTAACTTTGTCTCTGTGTAACTTTGTCTCTGTGTAACTTTGTCTCTGTAACTTTGTCTCTGTGTAACTTTGTCTCTGTGTAACTTTGTCTCTGTGTGACTTTGTCTCTGTGTGACTTTGTCTCTGTGTAACTTTGTCTTTGTGTAACTTTGTCTCTGTGTAACTTTGTCTCTGTAACTTTGTCTCTGTGTAACTTTGTCTCTGTGTAACTTTGTCTCTGTGTGACTTTGTCTGTGTAACTTTGTCTCTGTAACTTTGTCTCTGTGTAACTTTGTCTCTGTGTAACTTTGTGTTTGTGCTGCTGATGATGTCGACCATGTCTCCTCTGGAAACGAGCTTCTTCACCTCACAGGGACAAACATGGTTAAATAAAGGTTCACTAAATAATAAAATATATTTCATTAATACAATTATTTAGCCTGAGTAAAAATGACCTGCACACCATATTTTAAATCTAAATTGTCTGTAAAGTTATTTTAATGGATGAAAAACTCTGCAGTGGAGAACTTGTCTTGTTTTGAGCAGGGATACATTTCTCTACGTAACACCGGCAGCTTCCCGGTTAGCTCGTTAGCTCATGAGCTAATCTGCTGCTTAGCTGAGCTGCTACTACATTTAGCTTCACAAGCTAATATAATTATATAACAAGGAGCAAATTCAAGTAGGAGAGTTAAATAAAGAATGTTAAATGTTTCTTAAATGAGATAAAATCTGACACAGATGATTCAGAGACGATGACAGCAGATTCCAACATGGCGCCCAGAGAGAGTTTAAACCGTTTGTTTTCAGTCAGTCAGACATTTTACATTTTACACACAATCTGTTGATCTACATAAAAACATGATTCTGTAAAATCATACAGATTATTATTTATCATTTTTAAAGACGATTTGAAGTTTTTAAAGTACTTTTTTATTTTATTATTATTATTATTATTATTATTTATTATTATTTTTCTGCTCGATCATTTTCGTTTTACTTTTTTATAAATAATAAACGTTTTCTTTTAAAGATCGATTTCCTGTTTGTATTTCCTGTTGAACATGTAATAAAAAGTAATAATGAGAAGATATTTTAAATAAGTTGATCGAGTGTTTCATCAACCAGAAGAAGAAGAGGAAGAAGAAGATCTTAACCTGCTGTTCAAACATTAAAGTCTACAGGTGTGTGAGCTGTTCTTACCTGCGGGGTGACACACGGCGGACAGCAGGAGCAGGACGCAGGTCAACGACGGCAGCTCCATCACTGACCGGTTAACCGAACAGATCGACTCTGAGAGAGAGAGAGAGAGACAGAGAGGGAGGGAGAGACAGAGAGAGAGAGACAGAGAGAGAGACAGAGAGAGAGAGGGACAGGGAGAGAGATAGAGAGCGAGCGAGAGAGAGAGAGAGAGAGAGAGAGAGAGAGACAGAGAGACAGCTGGAGCCGAGTGGGAGGACTGAAACGATTCTTCTTCTCTCGACTTTAAGTGGAACAGGAAGTGGTGAGAGCTGCTGTGACAGGTCACACACACACACACACACACACACACACACACACACACACACACACACACACACACACACACACACACACACACACACACACACACACACACACACACACACACACACACACACACACACACACACACACACACACACACACACACACACACACACACACACACACACACACACACACACACACACACACACACACACACACACACACACACACACACACACACACACACACACACACACACACACGACTCTCTCTCCCACTCATGATCAACACAACATATACACACACTCTCTCTGAACACACACTCTCTCTGAACACACACACACACACACTCTCTGAACACACACACTCTCTGAACACACACACACACACACACACTCTCTGAACACACACACACACACACACTCTCTGAACACACACACTCTCTGAACACACACACACACACACACTCTCTGAACACACACACTCTCTGAACACACACACACACACTCTCT